GGAGTCAAGCTTAATTTTTTGTCAACCAGAGTTTAACTTTGTTTTTGTCTTTGCCTCTCGGCAGGAAGTTATCCTGAAAACTGGATTTCTCTGACCTTCACTCCCTGGAAGGATCAACTGAGCTTCAAACTGAGCTAGGGTTCAAACAGGAGGTTTGGATCCACTTTCACCAAGAGATCGTTTGAGCTTCTCACTGAGAAAGGGATTATTCTCCACTACGACCCGTTCAAGTACCGCAGGAAATCTGAGTGGCAGTCAGTTTCTCCGTTCACCAACTGCATTCTGGGTAAACCCTGTTCCGCCCTCCACTGAATCAGACAAACACTGGAACCACGGCACACAGACAGGAGTCAAGGATTCAACAACTTCTCTGGAAACTTGAGTCGGCAACCAAATCCTCTTCTCCAAGTTCACGAGTCAAGTTCCCCACTAAGCCTGAACTAACCGCTGTGTCTTCCCCTCACTTTACAGTTCCTGTTGAGCAGTGTTCAGAGAAACACTTCTTCCCCTGTTTAACTTCTTCAGTAAAACCCATTAAACCTTTCCCTGGTCTCTCTGTCCGGTTATCGGCATTTGGGTCAGAACTTTGCAGCATCATGACAAACCTGAGGACACATGACCATTCAGGAGCAGGATAACACAATTATGTTCTAACTATAGGCACAGAAATACTTGTTCTCCCAACAGATTCATCTTAGCTGGTCAAATGCAGATTCTCTGCAGAGAACACTGACAGCAGATTCTACAATATTTGCTGTCTCTCATTATTTAATTCATTGTAATAAAGCAGAAACCTGAAGTAGCTTCCTCAGAGCTCAGGAGCAGGGGCCGATTTAAGAAGGAAGACAAGACATAAAACAGACCCATTATACAAATAAAGAATTTTTAATCCAATTCAATTCAATTCAGTTTATTAATATAGCGCCAATTCACAACACAAGTCATCTCAAAGCACTTTACAGTTCAACCAGATCATCCAGTCAAATGATTCAAAGTTTTCTATCTAAGGAAACCATAATGAGCTGTTTGAAACTCTTCAAACAGCTCATTATGGTGTAAGTGATCGCAAACTTGTTTGGCAACTACTTTCTAAAGAATTTTAGATAAGAAAGGAAGATTGGATATAGGTCTATAATTGACCAAGTCATCTGGGTCAAGAGACGGTTTCTTAAGCAGAGGTTTAATTACAGCAACCTTGAAAGCTTTAGGTACATGTCCCTGTAACAGAGATAGATTAATCACATCTAAAATGGAGGAGGAGATCAAAGGGAATACCTCCTTAAATAACCTGGTTGGAACTGGATCTAACATACAAGTTGAAGGCTTAGATGAAGACAATAATTTTGCTAACTCAGAAAGTGCAACTGGATCAAAGCAGTCTAAACCCGGTTCAGATTCCATGACTACCTCAGGTACAAGAATCTCATCAAATCAATACTTCTAAGAGTAGGTGGAATTGACGGTCCAACTAACCTATGGCTCTGGGTGAGTTTGGCAACTGTATTAAAAAGAAATCTAGGATTATTCTTATTCTCCTCTATTAATGAGGAGAAGTATGCTGCTCTTGCTTTACAAAGTGTCACCTTATACAGCAGTAAACTATTTTTCCAGACTAGGAAGGACGCCTGCAGGCCTGTGGAGCGATATTTTCTCTCCAGTTTCCGAGAATTTTGCTTCAAAACGCGCAGCTCTGCATTAAACCAAGGAGCTAGCTTTCCATTTTTAACGGTTTTCATTTTCAAAGGAGCTGCGTTGTCTAAGGCAGTACGCAGAGAACTAGCAACCCCATCAACAAAATCATCAACCTGTGAAGGGGAATAAGCTAAGCTTTTGCACTCTGCAGCACTGCTCAGCGACACAGAGGAGAGAGAAAGTGAAGCAGATTCTTTAAAATGTATAACTGCACTATCTGATAATGATCTACTAAACTGAACCTTATTTTGGGGGAGGAGAACTCTGTTAAAGTAATCCTGAAGGTTATTAGAAAGTGTTCAGAGAGGACAGGGTTGTGAGGAAATACTGTTATTTCTTCACATTCCATGTCGTATGTCAGCACAAGATCCAAAGTATGAAGATGAGAATGTGTGGGACTATTCACATTTTGAACAAAGCCAATAGTGTCTAAGATAGCATTAAAGGCTGCTCTTAAGCTATCGCCTTCAATGTCAGCATGGATGTTAAAATCTCCCACTATGATGACCCTGTCAGTATTTAATAACAAATCAGAAAGGAACTCTGAAAACTCATCTAAAAATTCAGAGTAAGGACCTGGTGGACGATACAAAATTACAGAAAGAAGAGGTTTTCTTGTTTTGAAATTTGGATCAGGGAAATTAAGGGTTAAATGTTCAAAAGAGTTGTAGGTATTAAAGCTACAGTGTGTAACTTTTAGCGACATCTAGCGGTCAGACTGCAGACTGCAGCAACATGAACATCTCCCCCCCACCGCTTCTCCCCCCAACAGTACGGCGAGCGTTACGGGACAAAATGTCTTCCACGACGTCCGCATCACCTACCTTCTCAAGTGATGAGGTTTGTTTACATAGATAATTTTACAGATAGTATTTCATTAGTCTGTGTAGGGTATAGATTTCATGTAGACTTAAGATAATAAATATACTCGTTATTTTTTTCTACATCGTTGTGACATTTTGGCGATCTCGCAATCGCTAGTTTGTTGGCTCTGCGCTGCCGTAGCGCAAAGATGTCTGCCTCCATGGCTGCAAGACCCACTCCTATGTAATTATAAATAACGAATTCTAAGGCAACGCAAATATTAAGGTTAAGAGGCTGAGCTCGTAGATGATGATAAATAACATAGTTATGTATAATATATTACATTTCTGACTGTATATCCCTGTAATTATTACACACTGTAGCTTTAACTGTTTTGGGAGTAATCAGTAAGTCAGACTGGAAGATTGTTGTTACTCCTCCTCCTCGCCCAGAACTTCTGGGTATGTGAAAATTTAAATAGCTTGAAGGAGTTGCCTCATTTATGCTCACATAATCCTCTTGCTGCAGCCAGGTTTCTGTAAGGCAACATAAGTCAATGTGATTGACACAAATCCAGTCATTAACTAGCATACTTTTAGAGGAAAGAGATCTAATGTTAAACAGACCACATTTAATTGTTTTAACTTTTTCCCCAATAGAAGTTATTTTGATTTTAATTAGATGATCATGATTTACTCCTTTGGGAATATTTGCTAAATTATTAGATTTTGGTCGTGGGAAAGACCCTGTCTGGTAAAGAGTAAAGAGTGGGTAACAGTAGAGAAGCTGCAGAGATGTGTGTTAAACTACAACTCTGCTTCCTGGTCTGCACCCTGGGTGGTCAGGGTTTTGGAGGACTAATAAATGTGTAATTATATACAATATAAATATCAATTTGTATTTAATATGGCTGGATTTGGAGAACTGAAACAATGAGCAGTGGTATTGCAGCAAAGGTAAAGACAGAAGTGTCCGAGCCTTCAGGGGAGGGTTTTTTTCAGTGGGAGTAATTGGATTCTGTGATCTCTTTTGGAGCTCACAAATGATGCCACATGGATTTTAATATAGTTTGCCTGATTAACATGTTTGTTTGGTTGGCTGTTATCTCCACTTCATATGTATTTAGTAAGAAATGCATGTTACGACAAAATTAGGGCAGCAAATCGATTAATTTGTCGTTCGTTTTTTCGAAGAATCGATTAATTGGATAACCAATGGCTCTTTAAAGAAGATTAATAATGAGATTAAATCAGGTGACACGAAAATATTTCCTCTTGAGGAGTTCTTGATGAAGAATATTGACAGACAAAAACATTTGTATAAATCTTATATGCAAAATGTTTACAAATCATTTTACAAATTTTGTATAATCACTGATCTAAGTGGGTTACTCGGTTGGGGAAAGGCACATTTTACATTTATATTATGTTTTAGAGTCTCTATACTCCAGTTAATGATGAATCACTTACTAAATTAGTTGACGAATATTGAAATAATCAATTAATATGATTCATTTTTTCAGCCCTAGATAAAATACCTGAAATTGGTTACACAGAGTAACTACAACCCAGAAGTTAATATTTTAATGAATGTATAAATCTTGCTTGATACAGAAAGAGCATAGTAGGTAAAAATATGAGAGTGGGGTTTACCTCTGCACAATTATATATCTTCATAAGAAAATACTGTATTTACCTTCTGTCTTAGTTGTTCAAATGAAACCATTTACAAAGTGGAAAAAAGTCCTAATTCCACATTCATCAGAGCTGGTGATACTTCAAACATTGATAAACAGCATCTAGGGAGTGTAGCGCTAATAACATTTTTATTAATGTAGCAAAAATTCTGCTTTTCTCATTAAACAATGAATTCCTCTTATAAAGTATAAACAAGGGCATGCATATTGCATAGCACCAATGACACCCGACCAATGGTGTCCCTACCAAAGTTCAAATCAAACCTACCTTGGTTTGGACCTTTCTTAACATGTGCAGCAAATGGACTGATCCAATATGGTGGACACTGAATGGGGGGACTGGGACACATATAATATTATAAGTGTTCTGATGGCATTTTAGTCAAAGTATTTTTATCAAAAACATAATTAATGTGCACATTCTCTTAATTTTTAAACGTTATTCTCCTCATTTTATGACTTTATTATCATAATGTTACGATTTAATTATTCTGATATTGCGACTTTAGTCTCATAATGTTATGAGTTAATTCTCGAATAAAAATAAAAATATCCTGCCTGGCCCTCTGTCATGTCCCTCGTTCTCCTTCCACCAAAAATAGGACAAATATATTAGATGCCCACTGAGCCAGTGGGGAGGAGGGGTGAGGACAGAGACAAAGGCTGACAGGTAGCAGAGGGATGGGCTTCCTCCTCATCTCCCACTAATATTTCCACACCTTTGAATAAATCTGTGAACAGCACCGCTAAAAAAAAAAGACAGAGAGCCGGAGCTCCAGAGTCATGGCCGGCAGACAGACAGCCTCACCTCTGCAAACAGCCACAACGTCACAGCAGCGGCAGTAGGCAGCGGGTTCCCCATGGCTGCTGAGGAGGAGGAGACGCTCCTTCCTCCGTCACTGGGTCGGTGTCATCCTGAGAGCCGGCCAGCCTGGAGACCGAGCCACGGAGACGAATCCACGGAGAAAGATCCACGGAGACAGATCCACGGAGACGGATGCGGAGGAAGGTGGAACTGAAGGGAAGATGCGTTAATTCCACGAATCCACGCCCATCTGTGACTTCGCCACGCACAGAGGCGATTCTAGAGTCTGTGGGGGCCCCAAGCAAAAAATCCTAGGGGGCCCTACCGACCAGTGTTCATCACCATTATGTTAGGCTATAAATAATCTGACACCAACGAAAAATTTATTAAATAAAACCTTTTGTATTCCAAATGTTCTAAACATGAACAACCTTGTTATTTTGGAAAATATAAAAGTAAAGAATAAATTAATAAATTAAAATAAATGTATACTAAAATAAAAAAAAAAACAGTAAACAGTATAAAAATAAAAAAACAGTAAATTACTTTAAAAACCCAATATAAACTTTGTACAAAATATAAAGTATAGTAAGAGTAATGAAATTATTGGGGTCCTATACTGCTTTCAGAATTGCTGCTTATGGGCCTTGGCTTGTGCAAATGAAGACATAAGTCCTCCAGATCCGAAGACCTTCGCACACTATACTCTATGGAAATAAGCGCTAGTCCTGAAAGTCTCTCTTGAGACATGGTTGACCTCAGGTTTTTATCAGCTTTAAAGAGGAGAAACTTCTCTCTCCAGAGGCAACAGTGCCCGGGAGAGTTAACAGCAGACGGAGGGCAATGCTGAGATTTCCATAAAGAGACAGAATCCGTTCCTTGTAAATGTAATCAAGCATCTCTCTTGGAGAGGCAGAAACTATCTGCTATCATAGCATTCACTTAACGCTATAGCTGCTGTCTCCCTGTTAGAAGACAAAGTAGCATCATTTCAATGACAGCAGTCATTTAGTGTTAACGTTATGCTTAAATCATTATCTGCTCCACTTACCACTGTCTTTCTTTCTTTTGCTTCTTCAACTTTTTTCTTGTTCTTCTTCTCGCTACCAGATGGATAGCTCCTCTTCATTTTCCTTCAGCTTAGTTACTTAATTGCTTTCCAATTTACTGAACGATAGGCCTACAACGTCACCCATTCACTAGGCTACATTCATTTTCATTAAGGGAAGTTATCCACCTGGGCTGGGCTGGGCTGGATTTTGACTGGGCAAAGCCAATTTCAATCAACATTCCATCCAATCGGAATTTTTATATGCAGTTGTGCATCTCCTCAGTCACTATAGCGTTGTCACTTCATGCTCGCCTGTTGCTGTTTTTATCTACCGGGTGTACAGTAGCTGGCTCTCGGGGGGCCCCCAGCGGCTCGGGGCTCCAAGCAGTGGCTTGGTTGGCCTGTTGACAAGGTGCGCCTCTGGCCCCACGCAGCCCCCCCTCCCTCTGTCACGTTGAACACAAATCAATTCAATTCAGTTTATTTCTATAGCGCCAATTCACTAACCTGACTCCGCCTGATGGATTTGCTCCGCATATCCATCTGGAAACCTTCCGTTGAAGTAATTTTGGGAAGGGCCGAAAATACTGGTTAGCTGATTGGCCTATGTTGGTGATAGACGGGCCAAATAAACCAATCAGATCAACGAAGCATATGACGTACTAACAGAGCGAGGACGAAAACACAACCACAAGCCAGGCTAACTCTTGCCGAAACCAGTCGTGAAAAGAGCAAAATCATCTATTCCTCTGAGAAAAGCCTCCAGAGCAGTGTTTTGCTCTTCTTTCAGTGAAGAAATACTCTGTAATTCCGATAAAACTTGCTCGATAGCCACGCTAACGCTAGTTTCATCGGCTGAAGCCGCCATGTTCTTTAGACTGAACTGTCACGCTTCTCGTTGCGTCACACCTCAGCCCGCCTCAAAGCCAACGCCGATTGGACGTTCGTTTGGTGAACGGCTCCAAATTTTCTTTAACGGAGAGTAGCCAGACTGATCTGCGAGTGAAACCTTGAAAGCTCGCGAGATCAGGATGGTCTCACGAGGCTACCAATTCACAGCACCTCATCTCAAGGCACTTTATAGTTCACCAGATCATCCAGTCAAATTGATTCAAATTTTTCTATCGAAGGAAAACCAGTTGATTGCATCGACTCACTGACTCTTCAGCAATCCCTCGCACTAAGCATGCTTGTAGCGACAGTGGAGAAGAAAAAATTCTTTTAACAGCAAAAAACCTCCAGCAGAACCAGGCTGAGTGTGAGCGGCCATCTGCTGAGGCCGACTGGGGTTCAAGGAGACAGAAGCAGAGATACAAAAAGCAGCTGTAAAAGGCGGCCCCCTTCCAGGAAACACACAGCCAGGCAGACAAGCATCGAGCCAACTCCCATGCCAGAGGACGAAGAGGGCACATCCAGCCAGTCACGATCAGAGAAACAGGACTACACTGGAAAACAGGCCGATCTGCAGCATCTTTAAACAAGGGTGTTAATGGAAGCAGCAAAGCTGATGTTTCTCTCCAGGATGGAGTCACAGCCAAACAGGAACAGACCAGATGAAGCTACTATGAGAAAAAGCAGAGAGAGCAGAACGTTATAGATTGAACTAGCAGATTCTGCAAAGTGGGAGAATAAAGATAGAATGAAGCAGAATGATGAAATGGGGGTCCCTCTGTCCTCCAGCAGTCTAACCATATAGCAGCATAACTATAGAGATAGCTCAGGATAACTTGAGCCACTCTAACTATAAGCTGACATTCTTTGTCTTACTGTATGTAATAAGAACCATGCCTTGATTTTCAACAATAATGCTGATAACAGCACTAAATCTGGAGTTTATATTTAAATCTCTGTTTTAGATATAGAGTTTATATCTAAACCCAAGGTGTATATGGTTCAGATCTACTCTGGTTTAGATCTAAAGCTCTGGTTTATATCGAAGTCAGAGGTTTTGATATAAACCTGGAGTTTATATCTAAAGTTTATATATACACTCTGGGTTTATATCTAAACCAAGGTTTAGATGTAAACCTGGAGTTTATATCTAAACCTCTGGTTTATAGATAAAACAGTGTTTAAACCCCAGATATATTTGGTTCAGTGTGGGTTTATCCAGAGAAGAGGGAACTTGTTGGAGAGCGGACAGGTAGACATTTGCTGGACCCGGAGGACCAATGGAGTGGACTGTCACTTGGATTTCCGAAAGTGACTTGAACAGATCATGTGGAGGTTTTCCCCTGCACAGTGTGAACTCAGTTAATCCATCCAGGGGGATAAGGCCAGACATCCAGTTATACAGGAAGGCTTCCTGCCGAAAGGCAAAGACAAAAACAATATTAGACTCAGAGAAACAGAGGCTCAGGTAGACTCAGCTAATCTCAGCATGGGTAGAGTACCCACACTGGCAAACACTATGGCGTCGAGGTAGTGACATCCCATGGCTCAAATACTCCTCATAGATGATCCAATGAGCCGCAGGTGTGCAGGGAGGCCCAACAATGACAGGGAACCACCTGGTGGTGGAGGGAGAAAAACACACAAACAACCCACACAAACTGGATTCCTAACAAATACTTCAATACATTAAGTTTTAGAAACTCCAACTCCAACTTTTGTGTGGAGAGTGAAATAGAATATAGTAGAATAGAATAAAGTAGAGTAGAGTAGAATAAAGTAGAGTAGAATAGAGTCGAGAAGAGTATAATAGCATAGAGCAGAACCAAATAGAATAGAGAAGAATAGAATAAAAAAAAGTAAAATAGAATATAACAGGACAGAGTAGAATAGAGTAAGGTAGATCAGAATGGAATAGAATAGAGTAGAAAAGAATAGAATAGAGTATAATAAAATAGAACATAACAGAGTTGGGGTTTTCTATTCTATAAAAACATGCAAAAAGGCTTTGCATGGAGGCAGAGGTAAACAAATTAACCCAGTGACAAATGAGAAGCATGTGAGGAGGTGAATGGAGCTGAAAGCATGTGCAGTTAATTAACTGATGAAAGTGAATAATCAATGGAAAAACACAAAGAAGAAACCAAGAGAACAAAATCATAGAATTAATAAATGAAAGGGGAATAGCAACACAGAAATACACTCCTGACACTACGGAACATAAGGAAATGAGTATGGCAAACTCCAGGTGAGAAAAATAACAGAACATAACAGAAAATAAGGAAAGAACTCAGCTAAAAAAAAACTTTTCACAAAAGTCTAATTGAGCTTTAAAATGTTTCCTGTCTCTTGTTTTTCTCAGCATTGTTTTTTATCTGTTGAATATTGTTGATGTTGGTCGATGATCACAGATCAAAAGTCACATAGATGCATTTAACATGTTCATGCTTGCAGGGGCGGATTTAGGAAATTTGGGGCCCTAGGCAAAGACAGGCATTGGGGCCCTCTGAATTGAGAAGACAACATATAGACCCATTATACAGATACAGAAATTTTAATAGAATAGAAATTTGATGATGTCATGTATCTTTAAGTTTGTCTATGTCCATAATTTACTCGAAACAAAGTAATTTAGAATATTTTTAGAGCATAAACGGTAGTGTATAGGATTTCCTAAAAGCGCAATCACGAGTCTACGGAAACCGCGGCAGACCAAACCGGATGAAAGTGCGCATTCAGCTCAGCAAAGAACTCATGCTCTTCCTCAACACTGAAGTCCTCAGACATTTTTCTTTCGTTGTTTCTTTCTTTGCACAGGTAAACAGCACATTTGTTCTTCTACGCTTGCATTATCGGCAGAGCAGACGCTGAATGCGCACTTTCATCTGGTTTGGTCTGCCGCAGTTTCCGTAGACTCGTGAACGGGCTTTTAGGAAATCCTATACACTACTGTTTATGCTCTAAAAACATTCTAAATGACTTCGTTTCGAGTAAATTATGGATGCTACCGACTCAGGACACTTGGAATACATTGGACGAGCAGTATGGAGGAATATTGACAAGTTTTTTGTGGACTTTTATGGACCTTTCTGCCTCGGGCGCCATAGACCTCCATTATTTGAATGTCAGCAGACAGCAAGAAGCCTCCCAGATCTCCAGATGCATTTGAGATATCAAAAAAGTACTCCAGAGTGTTGTTCAGCATGGGGGTGAGTAGAAAATGAAGGCTAATCATGTTTTGGGTGTACTATTCCTTTAAGAGGTTTCTTTTGAATGGATTTGATAAAACTTTTAGTCCCTCGGTATAAAATAAATATTTTGATGAAGATGA